TATAAATACACTGTTACTGCAGTATAACTACAATATAAATACACTGTTACTGCAGTATAAATACACTAACTGCAGTATAACTACAATATAAATACACTGTTACTGCAGTATAAATACACTAACTGTTTCTTTGTTCTGATCTCTTCAGTTGTCAATGGCAATACTTCCTGCTCAACAGCCAATAGCAAAGCCAGCCCAGAGTCCAGCAGCTCCTGGTTGGAGGACAGGTGTAATGGCCACGCCCCCGGACGTTTCTCCAGCCCCGCCTCTGGCCTATCAGGGTTTTCCAGCTCTGTGATGTCAGCGACGTCTGAGTCGGCGCTTTCTGCTCAGTCTGGATACTCGAGTGGACGAGACGGTCAGAGCACACACACACACACACACACACACACACGCATACACACACGTGCACACACACACACACACCAGGTCACCAGGTGTCTCAGTGACCAATCAGAGCTGTCGTTGTGTCTGCAGTGTTCAGCGCCTCGGACTTCGTCCTCAGTCCTCTGGATCCTCAGAACGCCGACCGGCTGCGAGTGAAGATCGCTGATCTGGGAAACGCCTGCTGGGTGGTGAGTCGCTTCACGTCCGACCAATCAGACGGCTCCTCTGTGTTCTGTTCACCTTCACATCCAACCAATCAGACGCCTCCTCTCTCTGTCTGTCTGTCCATGTCTCTCAAGCACAAACACTTCACAGAAGACATTCAGACCCGACAGTACCGAGCTCTGGAGGTTCTGATCGGAGCGGAGTACGGACCGCCGGCCGACATCTGGAGCACCGCCTGCATGGTACGACTGTCCTGTGTTTGTTCCAGAACTGCTGTTTCAGTGTGACAGCTTCGTCTGTCTGACAGGAAGAAGAACGTGGACACGTTCAGATGTGTTCACTTCCTGAGCCGGTCACACAGTGAAGCTACGCACCTGTGAGGTACCGCCCCATTGGTCAGCATCACAGCTGGAGTTTTATTGGCTGGTCACAAACAGGTTGTTCCTCAGAGTTCTGAGATCAGAAGTTTGTCGAGAGTCAGTCTGAGCTGTTGGAGGAAAACTGGGTCAGCTGTGGTCAGCTGTGGTCAGCTGTGGTCAGCTGTGGTCACCTGTGGTCACCTGTGGTCACCTGTGGTCACCTGTGGTCAGCTGTGGTCAGCTGTGGTAAAGCAGTGATGCTGAGACTGAAAGAGCAGCTTTAGGACAAAGATGACAAGTTGACTTCATAATATATTCTGACGCAGTATAAGTACACTCACAGTGTACAGATACACACTGATAATGCAGTACGTAGTGCATAGTGCAGGTGGGGATGTCCTCAGGTGTGTACAGGTGTAATATGTGACTGGGTGTGTCCATGTTTCAGGCCTTCGAGCTGGCGACTGGAGATTACCTGTTCGAACCGCATTCAGGAGAAGACTACACCAGAGACGAAGGTATAGCGTAGTACTACTACACTGAGTACACACAGCAGTACTGCACACTACTGCAGCATCACAGAGCAACACAGTACTGTGCAGTACTTCAGTGTGTACTTTTACTCTGTGCTCAGATCACATCGCTCACATCATCGAGCTGCTCGGCCCCATTCCTCTGCCCTTCGCTTCGTCTGGCAGGTACTCCAGAGAGTACTTCAACAGGAGAGGTGAGCCAGCCTGTACCTGTCCGTCTGTCACCTGTCTGCCTGTCACCTGTCTGTCTGTCACCTGTCTGCCTGTCACCTGTCTGTCTGTCAGTCTGCCTGTCACCTGTCTCTGATTGGCTGTCAGTGAAACTCTGGGAGTTGTAGTTCTTCTTTTCGGTTCTGTATCTTCAGACTTTTTAACAGCGTTTGTTGTGATGATGAGGAGATTTTACTGTCTGTCTCTCTGCACCTGTCCCACCTGTCCAGGAGAGCTGCGTCACATTTCCAGCCTGAAGCCATGGGGTTTGTTCGAGGTTCTGTTGGAGAAGTACGAGTGGCCGCTGGACCAGGCGGCTCAGTTCAGCGACTTCCTGTTGACCATGTTGGAGCTGCAGCCTGAACGCAGAGCAACAGCGGCGCAATGTCTGCAGCACGCATGGCTGCACTCATAGACACACACTCATGGACACACATTCATGGACACACACTCA